TGAGAGGGTAGAGAGGTTGGAGCAACAATCTGTGCCAGCACGGGAGAGCGTGAAGCGGTGGGTGTGTCTGGATTAGCGAGCCGCGCTGCTAATTGTGCTGCATTCTCGAGTTGGAACGCCATTTCCACAGCCTTCGACAGCGGGAGGTCGTCCGGCGACAGCAACAGTTTCTCCCGTAGCTTGGGATCAATCGTGTGCTCCGCTAATTGGTCCCGAATCATCTCCTCCTCCAAGCGGCCGAATTTGCAGAGGCCCGCTAAGCATCGCAAATCGGCAATGTAGTGGTGTACCGGCTCGTCCGTGTGTTGCCGTCGTTGGCGAAAGGTATTCCGCCGGACTATCACACTCTGCGGAGCAGCGAAATGTCCGGCCAATAAAGCGACACTATCTGCATATGTCCGTGCGGGTCCGAGAGTACAAAAAATGCGCTGTCCCTCGACGCCCAAGCTGTGCACTAGCATAGCCGTTAACCGTGTGTCGCTTGCCTCGTTTAGTCCGATCGCCGTCAGATATGTGGTAAAAGCGTCATACCAGCGGGACCACGGGACTGGTGGCTCAACGGGGAGCGCGAGGAACGAGGCGAGGGGAGCTGCGTTAAAGTCCATCTTCGTCGCCAAAATGTTGTGTCCGAAAAACGTGAGGACATGACTTACTTTTTCAATGGTCTTTATTCAACTGCCGTAACAGGTGTCAGTCGTCACCCAACCAACCAATGCTTTGCGACACTGTCGTAACATCGTGTAGCAGTATGGTAAACGGCCATATGCTACAAACATAAAATTATACACACTGCCACCATAATATCAGGTTAATCGCACGAACCACGGCGGCCCGATGCTAACGGGCTAATGTGGCTAACTTGCTCGCGATTACGAGTCGCAACTGATTAAATAGGACAAGTACACTTCATTGTACTCACATTTTGTCATGTACTCGAGGGCTTAAGAAATCGCCGATGAGAACCGTACAAAGCAGTCTAAAGTACACGGCTGAAACCGAACACAATGGAATTACCTTGAGCAGAACGCAAACCCGGAAACTGGCAGGTGCTGTAATAACGCGATACATAAATGCGCGAAGGTGAATATCTCGTGATAACTAAAGAAACAGGCTGAGCCTTTGCTACAACTGTCATAATGCAACTACGCACACTAGTTGCCCACCTCAGCGACTTTGGTGGCAGCAACCTTACCATCAAAGGCAATGTGCTTGCATTGAAATTTTCAGTCCTTATTTGTCAAGCAATTTTCGTCAAGCTTACCTTTTTGTATACCATCAGAGCAGGCAGAGACATCAACACTGTCACGTTGCGCACAAAGCGGGAAAGGAACCGCTTCGTACGCAACAGAAAAACGAGAATAAGTGGATCCCCGAAATAGCAGACACTGACAAGGACTTCGTCACAAAATAATATTTATTATAAACAAAAACTCCGTCTAATAGAAAACGCTGGTAAATAACGAGAACCAGGATATAAACGCGACAACGAAAAGCGCTTGCAAAAAATGGCAAGGAAAATTATTAGGCAAATACTAGAAATACGCACGCACTTAGAATATTCGCAAGGAGATGTCGAAAAATGTAACAATTAGCAATCGTATACGAGTAGCGTTTTTCAATACATGGGCAACAGCAGTGGCACGGCATGGAATACTCCGGCAACGAGTCGACAGCCAGAGCGCCTAGATCAGGGGTGTCAAACTCCGGTCCTGGAGGGCCGCTGTCCTGCATGTTTTCCAAGTCTCCCTGTTGCAACACACCTGATTCAAATGAACAGGTTTAATGTCAGGCTTGCGCAGAGCTTGCTGATGATCTGATCATTTGAATCAGGTGTGTTGCAACAGGGAAACTTGGAAAACATGCAGGACAGCGGCCCTCCAGGACCGGAATTTGACACCCCTGGCCTAGATAGAGCAGGTGTAATCACAGACAAATAGGCAGCAGGTGTGCAGGCAGCAGAATGAACGCCTGCCACCTGCTGCCAGATACGGAACATGACAAAAATCTGCCATATAGATGCACAATTGTCGTTGAGTTTTACTTCTTTGCGGCAAGTATTTAACAAATTTTATCTTTCATTGATTGATGTTCAATTTCAAACGACACTTTTCCATGGCACTAAAATCTATTGAATAGTACCACTTTACCAATCTTTTGAAAAGTGCTGCCGCTTTGTAGTGTAATGATTTTACTTACATTTGAATAATCTATGCATTGTAATTTTACGTGATGTTTATAAGCTTGGTCCCCGAACCCCCTGTCCCTTGAAAAATCCCCTCTGCCCCTGAAATGAAACTGATGGGAAAACATGAAAATAGTAGATAAAATATGACACGCAATAAGATGCAAATGTTTCCAAGACAACAAAAAATATATTCGGTAAATTGTGCTGTAACGGCCAAATATAGTTTAAAGTAGTTGTCAAGTCTTGAGATTTGGCTTTGAATGTAAAACGGTGGGTACATTTAATCAGAAAATGAAAGAAGTATCTTCACCATCGCTCCGCTTTGCCACATCCAATTAGATAGCCAGATTGACGTACAAAATGGCCTTCATAGCGGTATCTAGATTTGTATGTCTATGTTTGTAATTCGGTTCGCTTTTTTCTGTTAGCCACAACCCAGCGAAGAGGTGGACGCGCATCCGAAGTCAGCCATGGCACCTTTTGGATTAAAAGCCGTTGTTGGAGAAAGTAAGGAGTGTTTTTATTGTTACTTCTCTGTTTGTTACAGTATTTGATCAACACCGAGGGTGCATCTCCAAGCATGATCAACCTAAGTTAAATATCATAGTAAATATCAATCTAGAACGATACGAAAACATAATATTATTCTAAAATGATATATAAATTTTAATTTGACACATTTTCAATTTTGATTTCATGTGTTCACATTTTTTAATGCTTGTTTTATGGTGATACTACCTCAAAATGCTTTAAATACTGTACAGTAATGCGATGTTGTGTATTTCAAAACAAGCAATATCTTATTTTTTGTAATGTATCGGTAAAGTTTATTTCTTTTACAGGGTAACATAAGTGCAATTGTGTATTCTTTGTGAATTCTATTCTAGTTCAATACACCAAACAAACATGCCTCCAAATCACCGGTTGAGATGTTGACAACTATAAGGGAAGGAATTGTTATTGGGAAAAGAAAATTATATTTAAATCACTTAAAAACGTAGAGGTCATCTTCAAGAATCCTCTTCGTGACTGATTTAGGGCACCTTTTAATTTCATTTCAGGTTCATAGATCCATTTTTTATACCGTTTAAGCTGTTAAGGGTTATGGGGAGATGAAAGGTGAAAGGCAGACTTCACAATGGACTGGTTGTTTGTGAAACACTTCGAATTTAATTCAATTTATTCAATACTAAAAATGTAATGAAAGCAAGTACACAAAGTTACAGTGTGATATCATTTATTTATGAAATAAAACATTGGTTTAAATATTTGGGGAAAATATCTACTCAGAAAATATTTTGTTACATCCCTGCACACCTTATCTTTGTTTGTCCCCCAAAAAATGTTTCTGTGAGACATTGCAAATATTCTTTTGTTTGGCAATGACTAAACCGTCAGCCATCAATGAAGTAATTGTCACTGTCACTGGTGCATTTTTGAATTTACAAAAAGTCTCTTTTAGACGATGTTTGCGGGCCAAATCAAGCATTGTTGCTGATATTGTCCTCATTAAAGTCATGCCAGAATCTTATTCATCTCCAAATGTCACTCCTAACATTCCAAACAAAAACAGGATGTATAGAATTCCGTCAGAGGTTTTCGTGTGTCTATCTGTTTCTGAGGGCTGTTGCTTTCCTGTGACGTCAGATGATACAGAACCACCCTGAAATAGTGATTGTGAGGGTTGTATACTAAGAGGATTTCAACCAGATTAGAGGAAGGGATTGCGTTTACCCTCCAGAGAGGACAGACTGGATTGTTAAACCCCAGTGATGGAAACTGGGACACTCTTTATCTGTATGCCCATCCACCCAAGAAAAACAAATTGTGAAACATCAGCTATATTCCAATGTTTTGATTCATTTATTTTTTGGTCATTTGCTTTTTGTTTCAAGTTAAATTCTATTGCTGCCCAAATAGTGGTTGGTTAAGTGCAAATTTGTGAATACAGTTCTTGATACACTATATCAACTAGGATTTTTATAAGGGGTAGATATTATTCCAAGGATGTTTAAAAATACAGTACTGCATAAATACTGCTATGGATGTCAAAGATCCCTTTTAACTAGGAGTTAATTTTTATTGAGAAAATAATTTGTTGCGTATTTCTCACATTATAGAGATAATGAATGGTGTCATCAAGAAGGCGAGAGAAAAAGGAAAATGGAAAGTAAGTGCACATTCTATTTCTAGATTCACAGAGGATTTGAACCATAAATTCCCTGCTATAAAGAGTCTCACTTGTCTGTAGGTGCTTGTGGTGGACAAGCTGAGTATGAGGATGATTTCCTCCTGCTGCAAGATGACAGACATCATGTCAGAGGGAATCACCAGTGAGTACCACTATTTTTACCGGTGCAAATTCATCTGAAAGACAACACATATCTTTTTATGGTTTACTTCAGGACTGATGAGGTCGAAGTATTGTATTTCTTTCTCTTCAGATGTCTGACCAAGGCTGCTGCTCCTGGGCCTTGGGCACCTTCACTCATTAATGTAGCTTGAAATGGGAAGTTCCCAGCTCCTCAAGACAAATTCTGTGCATGTTTTTTTTTTTTTTTTTTGGCAGGGGTCCACCCTGGCGGATGAGACATATCAAGCATGTTGTACATTATCAAATCATTTGCCCTTCTTCTGCATTAATTTCAGACTAATCAGCATATCTGACACAGGTGTTAGTTTTGGGAATGGAAATTAAGAGGGTGAATCCGCAATTTTAGTCACTGATGATGTAGTGGTACACTCGCCTGACTTGTGTGTGGGCAGCGTGGGATCGGTTCCCAATCAGTGACGGTGTGGAAGGTTGTTTTCCTCTACATGTGCTCTGTGACTGACTGACAACGAGTTCAAGCTGCAGTCCGCCTTCTGCCTAAAGTTAGCTGGGAGAGGAACCAGTACCCCTCGTGACCCTTGTTCAGGATAAGCGGCCTGGAAAATGGATGGATTCCATAATTCTTTCTTCTGAATTGATTTGTTGCCACCCTCTGCTTGGTCTGAAAATGTAACTCTTAACTAAGGACCGAAATTTAAAGAACTGACTGAACATCCTCTGAGACTGGTGATTCCATCATTTTTCCCAGAAGGTATAGTTGCAAGAGGTAATTCTTGCTGCAAGGCAAACCAGGCAGCTGCTTTAGGCCCCCAAACCAGTGACCTGAATTGGGCGCTATCTACTGTAAGGCCTTATGATGATATAGTGCAGGGGTGTCAAATTCATTTTTGTCACAAGCCACACTGTAGTTACGGTTTCCCTGAGAGGGCCATTATGACTGTGAATTTTGTAAAACCGTATAAATGTTTAATCATCCATATATTATAATTTCAGTGCACAACAAATTGGTGGATAGCTAGTTTAGAAATCAGAAGTCAAGAATAATGGTTTGTTCAGCCATTGTTTACGTTAATGTACAAAGTACATCATGAGATAATGCTTGCAATCTCTCTATGTTATGATGGATTACATATGACAATTTGAAATTTTGGTTCACACTTGAGCAAGTATCATAGAAAAGTTGACATGCTTGATTTGCTCCTGCGGGCCAGACAAAATGATATGTTGGGCCAGATCTGGCCCCCGAGCCTTGTGTTTGACACCTGGGGTATCGTGGTAATCGTGATTTGAAAGTGCAAATGTTCATGGGGAGTCACTTCATGATGTGGTTTAAGGTCTCTTCTGATATAATTGAGTGACGATACAGCTTCTCATGTTGCACTATGAGTATTTTTAAGTGATACTGCAATTGAGTGTGCAGTTTGGTAATGTGCCAACTTTCTTACTTAAATATTTCTAAAATTGCTCGTGTGAAGACATGCCTTTTTTTGGACAGAACAATTTCCAAAGGTTAAAAGATTCTTTTATTTGAAGAATTTTATTGTGGGCGGCCTGGTAGTCCAGTGGTTAGTGCGTCGACCTCACAGCGCAGAGGTACCGGGTTCAATTCCAGCTCCGGCCTCCCTGTGTGGAGTTTGCATGTTCTCCCCGGGCCTGCGTGGGTTTTCTCTGGGTCCTCCGGTTTCCTCCCACATTCCAAAAAACATGCATGACAGGCTGATTGAACACTCAAAATTGTCCCTCGGTGTGAGTGTGAGCGCGGATGTTTGTTCGTCTCTGTGTGCCCTGGGATTGGCTGGGAACCGGTTCAGGGTGTCCACCGCCTACTCTTGTGAGGATGAAAGTGGATCAGAAAATGGATGGATGGATGGATGGATGAATTTTATTGTGAACATGACTATTTTTTAAGTTAACTGACACTTTAATTACCGATAGAGTAAGACTGATGGATTGATCTGTGAACTGATCTTATGGGGAGATGTTGGTGTAACCATTAGTGGTGAGGTGGTGGGGCCTGTTTGACAGTGATGTTGATCAAGGAAGGAATCTCTCACTTCGTCATCTGCGACATCTGTCGCGGCATAGACAGCGATAACTCTCATTTTGCTGTCGTCTGAAACCCATGGATCTCCAGTTGGGACTCGGGAAGGGCTTTGGAATGCCTAGTCCAGTACTCTAGAGCAGCCTTCCTCAACTGGCGGACCTCCTCTGTCCGGACCTCCTCTGTCCGGACCCTCGGCAAATTGTATAAAATAATAAATTATAAAGTGATTTTTACGTTATACATTTTATATTTGTGGACTATAATCTGCGCATTACCGCGATCGCTTGTTAAAATTATCCGTTTTATTCTTTGCGTGCACTAACAGATGTATTGCAGAGGACGGCAGCAGCGCGACTGTGTGTTGTATAATGTTTGACTAACTGGAGACCCTGGCTGAGCAGGGCATGTCGGCGATAACGATGCGCTGATTGGCTCCTCTGAACTTAAGGTGTGCCCATACATAAGCGTCAGCACGCGTCTATCCCAACACACACGCATTCAAAATGGATGATTGTGTCAGGAAACAGACGCATGCGCGACGCCACAGTTGTGCTCACAGCTTCAGTCCAGGAGAGCTGCACACAGACAATTAGACAAGACGAATCGCGGGAGGTTTCGATTGTGTGCAGTTTTGCTCCCGTCTACCCGGGGATCTTTGCAGCTGTTTAACAGCAGAACACCGCAACATGGTAAATGAACATCACAATGGCGTCCTCAAATAATATTTGCATGTCTCAAACATTGCATTCTCCTTTAGTGGAAGAACAGCACTGCACATTCCTGTGCTCCCTTGTGTCAGTTTTTAAAATGGTTCTTAACTCCTCTTCTGATATACTGTATTTTTCAGTGATTTCAGAGGGGATGTGAAAAGGGGAATTGTACAAATGAAAAGGATATTTTTGTTTTCATGTTTAGTATTTATTTTGGTAAAATGAGTATTTTGTTAAATTGTTTTGTTAAATTAAGGGAAAAAAAAGACAACTACTGTTTAACAAAGTTAAAGTAAAAATTGTCTTATTTCCCTAAAAGGGCTATTTCTATTATTAAGCAGGCACAACTTAACAAAAAAAAAAAAAAAAAGTGGACCTACAGCATTTCTAGTTGAGGACCACTGCTCTAGAGTCTGGTTCATCTCCACATAGGTCCTGTGATTAAGGTCGATTTGTCGCAACAAAGTTTGGCAAGGTCTGCATCCATCCATCCATCCATCCATCCATTCATTTTCCGTTCCGCCTTATTCTCACAAGGGTTGCGGGGGTTGCTGGAGCCTATCCCAGCTGTCTTCGCGCAGTAGGTAGGGGACACCCTGAACCGGTTGCCAGCCAATCGCAGAGTTTGGCAAGGTGTTGCCATTAAAAATAATCAATCAAATGAAATGAGAACAAATCATTTTATTTTTAATAACAAACCACAAAAATGCCAGCGAAACTGAAAGTTGGTTCATCTTCCACTGGCCACTGGCATTGCCAGCAAAAAGTGTCCAGCAACTTGACACATGTCTTAATACCTGATTATTAATAAGAGTTTGCTAATTAAAATCACCAACGACCTTCTTTTGGCAGCAGACGCCGGTTTAATCTCAGTTCTCATCCTCCTTGACCTGAGTGCAGCTTTTGATACTATTTCCCACCCCATCCTCCACTCCATAGACTCTCCACCATAGGCATCACTCACACCCCCTTACACTGGTTTCACTCCTATCTCTCTGGGCGTTCTCAGTTTATCCAACTCAATTCCTTCACTTCACAGTCCCTCTCCATCTCTTCCGGTGTGCCCCAGGGCGCTGTCCTGGGACCCCTCCTCTTCATTATCTACCTTCCTCCCCCTTGGCAATATTTTCCGTAAATTTGGTATACATTTTCACTGCTTCGCGGATGACACCCAGCTCTACCTCTCCAGCAAACCCAACGCCTCCCTCCCACCCTCCTCCCTCTCACACTGCCTTTCAGAAATTAAAACTTGGTTCACACATAACTTCCTCAAACTTAACAGTGACAAAACAGAACTCCTCCTTGTGGGTACCAACTCCACCCGACACAAAACCAACAGTTTCTCTCTCACTATTGATAACTCTACTGTGTCCCCCTCCCTTCAGGTCAAGAGCCTGGGTGTCATCCTCGATAGCTCACTATCGTTCCACTCTCATATTAATAACATAACCCGGTCCGCATATTTCCACCTATGCAATATCAACCGTCTCCGTCCCTCTCTCACCCCTCACTCCACTGCTATCCTTGTCCACAGTCTCGTCCCCTCCCATATTGACTATTGCAATTCACTTCAAATTCCTCCATAAACTTCAACTGGTCCAGAATTCTTCAGCCCGTATCATCACTGGAACCCCCTCCTTCCATCACATCACTCCCATCCTCCAACAGCTCCACTGGCTCCCTCTCAAACTGAGGATCAACTTCAAAATACTCCTCTTCACATTCAAAGCCATCCATAACCTTGCCCCCCACCATCTGTCGGACCTTCTTCAAATTTCCGTTCCCTCTCGTTCCCTCGGGTCCTCAGCCTCCCTCCACCTCTGTGTACCCTCTGCCCGTCTCAGTACGATGGGGTGCAGAGCTTTCAGCCGCTCTGCCCCCAAACTCTGGAACTCAATCCCACCCGACATCCGTAATATTGACTCTCTTCCCATATTCAAAACCCATCTCAAAACCCACCTATTTAAAAATGCATATTTAGTTTAACTCATTGCTTTTTATTATTTATAATTTTATCTGTGGTTTTATTGCTCTTTTTTGATTGTAAAGTGTCCTTGGGTATTTTGAAAGGCGCTTATAAATAAAATGTATTATTATTATTATTATTTTAATTAAAACGTTGCTCTTTTTCACAGTTGTAGAGGACATATCCAAGGGACGGGAGCCTCTGCCCAGCATGGAGGCCATCTATCTCATAACACCCTCCGACGAGGTAAGAAAAAAATCTGTGAAATACAACAAGCACAAATGTAATGAAACCACAGTTTCAAAAAACTTTTGCATTTGTAAGCAAGAAAGGCAATCCTTGATTAATTACTACATTGACATGTGCAGTTTGCACAGTAAGTTTTCTAATGTGATAATGGTTATTGTCAAACCTATATGTCATCAGCTAGTGGTATAGTGTATCCATATTTTATATGTGTGTGGGTGTGTGTGCGTGCGTGCGTGTGTGTACATAGCAAATTCCAAAGAAGTGGGACATTGTGTTAACAGAGATGAAAGTCCTCCGAATTTTCCCGGAATTCCGGGTTTTTCAAATTTTTATGAAAATTTCTCCGGAGAATTGAGGAAAATTTGCATAATCCGGATATTTGTTGACAACATTGAACGAAGACGCGTTTGAGTTCGTTGTATTGCTTTCACGAGCTTAGCCATATTGAGGTACTAACACTAGTAACAGTAAAGAGATTTTTGTTTGTGTAATAACGACAGAAGACATGATGGCGTTTGACTAATGGTTTAGTAGAACGAATGGCAACTCGCAACAACAGTAGCAAGCGTCATTTTGCCTCTTGGGTTATACCATCTCAACTAGAACGTGGGGGATATTCCCCAAACAATTTTCGTCTCTTTATAAACACACCTGCTAAACCCCAGTGGAAAGAATAAAAGAGGCCGTCAACAAGACAGTTGTCGTAAAA